CATCTAGAAGCATCCTAACAGCTGGTTTGCACAATCAAAACAAGCCACCCTGGGTTATTTTTACTATTTAAGCTAGAGTGGCTTATTTAAATCATGGTGTCTCATTCAATTTAATAATCACCACTCAGATAAAGTTTGTCGTTATCCAAACCCAGGGGGCTTGGCTTGTTCAAGGGGAAAACAACCTTCCAATAATGCTACAACAGCCCATGGGCAATTATGGCATATTTTGATTGTGCAAACCAGATCCAAGAATCTGCTACTCCTGTCTACCTATTAACACAAAAAGGTAAGTAAGTGAGGCATATGAAGCTACAGGGTGTGTCTCAGTGAAAAAATATTGGAGCTTTGCAAGGATGAAGGATGACTATCAGAATCCCTACTAGGGAATGAGTTTGATGGCCTGCACTAGCAGAATGATACAATTATTTAAAAAAAACACAAGTAGCTACTTGAGTGCTACAAAGAACACAGTAACCAGCCAAGTTAAAGCTGCCTATACCGTTATACATGTGTACAACATATATTACCACAAAGGGGAAAAGAAGATGGTTTTTCTTCCAAAGAATGTATGACATTCATCTTGCAGAGTTATTTCACTGGAGAGGAAAGTTTAGAGCTGCCCCAGTGATTACCTTGCCTTATTTTCAAAAATCTGCACCCAGCCTGCGACCCATATAAATTACTCAAATTACTCTGCAGCTCCTAGGCCTGGAAAGAGTCAAGCCTGGAACTGTGCAAGACATTGAACCTCAATTCTTTCCACCCTGAGAAGGTTAATGAGCTTCTTGGCTTCAGAGATTTCACCAGCTATTGTTCACAAATTTAAGTCTATCGTCATAATCATAAAGTTTAGAAACTGCATTTTAATTTAAAGCAAACGGAAATTATCATGCTAAATTTTACACATGCTCTAAAACCTGGTTCACAGAATCACCATGAAAAAAATAAGCAGCTTGTTTAACCCATAGCACATGAGGGGTACCATCTGCTCAATTGCTCACCCGGGTACAGCCTGTCATGTAGTCCAAATCTGGATGGAATGGCTTGAAAGAAAAACCACCCTCAAGCTACCCATGGGTCATTTGAAAGTTGCTTTCCCCACAAACAAGCCATGCAGTCTAGGTTTGGATGACCCAACAAGCCATACCTGGGCAGCTGATTATTCAAATAGTGCCCAGTATGCACTGAAGCTTAAACAAGCCACTGTGGCTTATTAATGCACAGTGATAGTCCAAACCATTTTCCTTGTGTGTGGAGTGAAATTACAGAACAAAGATAAGCCTGATAATATTTCTCCAAAAATGTTCTTAAAGAACCTCTCAAAAACAACACTGAATTTGTACTTTTCTAACTTCTAAATATAGAATTTAACTCTTGACAAGCAGACAGGACCACTTTCTTTTCCAGTTCTTTGATACCAAGCAACAGTCGAGACAATGGCCACCATCTGACAAGGTAGAACTATTGTTGCCCCACCAGTTAAGATGGGATCTCAAGGGAAACATGTTTCCATAGTGCTTATTCTTCCTTCTCCCTGCTCAGTATACAGTCCACCAAAACCTGGGGGGAATTATTTATTTGTTTAAAAACATTATATGCCGTCCATTACTAAAAAAAGTCTCTGGATGGCTTACAAGGAAAGAAACATTATTAGCATCTTTTGATTTTAGTGCAGTTAAAGAACTGGTCTAGTGCTATGAATGTGAGCTCTGAATTTTAAATCCCACTTCAGTCATAAACTCACCAAGCAACAATAATATTTGCCTGCCCCACAGGGTTGTTTCAGAACTCTCAGAAAAGCATTGTATAAATTAAAAGTATGGTTATTTTTTTTAATTAGCATCCTGTCTCCAGCAACGTACACAGGATGCTATGGGACTACAGTGGAGGACTGTAGAACACATGTACAGAGAAATTCCTTAACCAAATGGTGGCACCCATGACTAGCTCATTTGCTTGCCAATGAAACCATACACACTTACAACATTCATGTGAACTAGAAAACAGAGGAAGTCATCTCATACTAGGATATATGAGGCTTGGGTCCTGGTTACCTGAAGGAGCGCTTACATCCATATATGCCCGCCCGCCCCTTGAGATCTGCGGGAGAGGCCCTTCTCCAGGAACCCTCCGTGAAAGAAATTAGGAGGGTAGGTACCTGGAGGAGGGCTTTCTCTGCGGTGGTGCCCAATCTATGGAATGCGCTCCCCAGAGAGGTCCGCCTGGTGCCGTCGTTATTTGTTTTTCGGCGCCAGGCGAAGACCTTTTTATTTAAACGTCATTTTAATTGTTAATATTATGCTTATTTTATCTGGCCAGGGCGACTTATTTTATATTGTTATTTTTTGTATTTTAACTTTATGTTGTGAGCCGCCCCAGGGCTTCGGTGAGTGGGGCGGCACAGAAATGTTTTAATAAATAAATAAATAAATATTATTTGTCCATCTAGCACAGTATTGTCTACTCTGAACAGCAGTGTCTCTCTCTATGGTCTCAGGTAAAGGCATTTCACGTCATATCACATCCTGCCTCCAAGGTGTTTATGCTCTTTCAGGCTGACAAACTAATCTTAAGATGTTTCAGAAGCTACAATTAAATGGGAATCATAGCCAAATGTGCAAGAACTGGCACCATAAAAATACCAAAATGCCAACATATTTTAGCTTAAAGTTCTTACTACCAGTAACTTAGTCCTAAGAAATGTATTTCAACCTTTTACAGTAGGCAGAAAATTGTACAAGGACTGGAAAACCACTAAATGATCCACAGTCAGTGCCACAGTCTGGAATGCAGGAACCAGAAGAGAGGACAGAGGCACCTCAGGATCAGAGTAACAGAATCCAAGGCAATATAGATTCCCAATTCCAATAGCAAGGCTCGGTACCAAGTTCAAGTCATAGTCACAGAACAGACCAAGGTCTGAAACCAGAAGTACATACCAGAACAAGGCAAGGACACAGTCATGAACAAGCCAAAAGTCAAGAACAAGGAAGACAAACAGAGGCACGGGTACCTTGAAGCAGGTTAACCAGGCAGGATATATGGTGAGGTAGGATACATGACAAGGTCAGACAAGATGCAGGAGCTGAACCATGACTTGCAGGAAGCCTATGTTGTTGAAGCAGGACAGCAAGGCCAGATACAGCAATGCAGGACAAGGCAAGGCAGGAACCAGATGCAGGAACAGACCCACAGCTAGGAAGGAAACCTGCACTGCTGAGGCAACATGGCAAGACAGGGTACACAGCAAGTGTCAGTCACTACAACAAACAAGAAGACCTGCACTACTGAGGCAAAATCTGAAAGAAAGAGCTTGCTCTTCTATAGTTCTTCCCCTAGGGCTCTTAGCTGGCACACACCTGGAGGCTAAGAGCTCCAGCGGGGCCCATAGATCCTGCAAATATTGAGGTGCATGTTCTGGTTTTGGCTACCCCATGAAGCCCCAGAGCAGCCTAAATCCTGACAGTCAGGAGGACAAGGACATGGCCATCTGCAAAATTTCAAAGGAGATCCCAAGGATTGACTCTGAAACCCTATGTCTACAAAGCATGTGCTTTATCACTGAGCTGTGATAAAGCATGTGCTTTATCCTTCCCCAAAATGTTACTCCAATGTTGCTTTCATTGGCATCAAACACAGAAAAGCACGGCAGAATGATATGTACTTGCTCTTCTGCACTACCATAGGCCCCTCTTACCTGTCCTTTGTCATTCTTTAAAAACAGACCTCAAACATTGGAAGAGCAGCCATGTACTTTCCATTCTCATATTTACTCATGGAGGAGTTGGAGTACAGGTCAAAGAAGTCAACTTTGTGAAAGATGCTTTGAAGCTGGTAAAGAAACTTTTTGTCCAGATAGCTTGAAGCCTTCATTGCGCCCTGAACAAGTCATGCTGCAATTTCAACTGTGATGTCCCTTCTACAAAGGAATGACTAAACCTAGCCTATTTCATGGGACTGGGATGAAAACAAAGCATTTTAACTGTAAGCCACAGTTTTCCTGGTACACAATACATGGCTCCAAACACATAATCCCCTTGGATTGTCAGGCTGGTAGTATTATAAGCAAAGCACAATAAGGGGCGAGCACTCACAGCAACAGTATCCACGGGTATTCCTCTGATGTCAATAGCAGTTAGTTCCCTTACAAATGTATAAGAAAAATGCACACACCCATACTGACACTGCTGTTACCTCAGCCTCTTAGCAGTGCTATGCCGTCATTTCTGTGAACTACAGAAAACTTACATTCACAGTAAAGGGAGAAAGGAGGCAGGGGGATAGCATATTTGTCTGAAAAATAATGAAACCAAGAAGGAAGCATATCTAGTTCTTGCTATACGAAAGTTCGCTTCTAAATGAGTTTCTAAAGGCCACTCTGCTTTTTACAACTGCCAAATACTGGCTGAGCAGCAAAACTGAAGGACAAAGTCCAAAGCACCAGAAGCAACAGAGTTCTAAATATGACATGTTATGGGTTCAAGGAAGGGAGCTGCAAGATACATCAAGTGCATCACTTCTACAAATGCCCCCTTCCAAGCTTCTTCCCCCTGCCAGGCTCATCAAAATAATCTGCCAAGAGAAAATGTCAGGATGGGAACAATCCCAAATTCTCACAAAATGACCAAAAGTGCCACCACTCCAAGTTGAACAGCCCGGTGGATTTCAAGGGTCACAGTAGAGCAAATGGAATCATGAAGACCATGTCAAGAACCAATAACGTGGCAAAGGCAGCTTTGGAGAAGATCAGAATGGATCAGCTATGCCCAATTATTGATTAAGTAGAGTCTGTGGCAGGCTTTACTGGAAATGAAGCTAGACTATCAGTGAAAAAGATGGATACAATGGAACCTTCCCTAAACTCCAGCGTGGACATGCATTAAAATATCCTGAGATGAAGATGCAGGCACTCCCTTCTACCCCAGACTAAACCACACCTGGGAGATCAGAAGAGCGACTCCTCTCCCACCCCCACGTCCGAACCGCGCTGCCCTCACCTTCTCCACATTCTCCACCGTGAATTCCAGGCTCTGCTCTAGGGCCGTCTCCTCACGGCGCTCCATGGTGCCTACGCGCTGCCTGTCTAAGCCTCGCCTTCACCCTGCAGTGGGGCTCAGCTACAGTGGGGCAGGCGACAGCAACAGCAGCAGCATCTTGAGTAGCGGGGGCAAGGGAGGGAGGAGAGGGCGGCAGTCTGTCCCTAACAGAGGGAAACGGCGATTCCCTGTCTCTACGAGCCAAGCGGGGGTTTGGGAAGGCGGGAGTGCGTGTGGCTCAACCGGGCAATGGAATTTTTAACCGGACTGATTCTATCCCCACGGAATCTTTTTTTAAAAGGGAGATGGTGGTGTCTTTCAGCTTGCCTGCAACAGGGGGAGGAGCAAGCCTATCTGTCCCAGTGGGGCTAGGAATAGTGTGTGGGGGGCGGGGAGCTGGGAGCGCGGGGAGAGATCGCTTTCTACCTGTCTATTCTCCGTTAGCGGAGGACGGTATATTCCGTCTGCTCCTAACAAGATTCAGGGTGAATTAAAAGACCTGCCTCAGACCCACCAGAAAGAACAGTCTATTTCTGTACCCAAACGACACTCCTTGGGGCGGGGGGGTGGAGAGCAAAGGGGCCGCCGGAGAACAGGATAAACTGCCGCTAATTTTCTGGGCGGTGGGAAGCGAGCAGGATATCTGTCTGTCCTTCTGCCCTTAATGGCGGAGAAGGTGCCTGTCCATGGCTCGCCGGAGGAAAGGGGAGGGGAGGGCGTCTGTCTGTTTCCACACGCCCGACCTTTCCGCTCTGCGTTCAGCTCTCCTGAGGAGCGTCGGTGTCTCTGCCTGAGGCGGCAACCACCGCCACCGAGCCGCCTCCCCACTCGCGCAATCAGACTAAATGACTGACAGTCGGGACGACCACCCAGTGGGAAAGGGATGGAAAGCGAGGACCTCACAAACCACTAAGTTGTCCACACCGAAGGCCCGCCTGCCGGCTCTCTAATTTCCCTTCCGTGCAGGCGCCTGGAACACCCCGCCTCTTGCTGAGGACCAGCGTTGTTTTGTGAGGTCATGGGAGTTGTAGTTCTGAACCCAACCGGCGGAATAAGGAACAGGGCAAGGCCGAAGACTAGGCCGAAGAATGTTCACGGGAGATGTAGTTCTTGTATTGGCGAGTACACCCTCTGGTGGGAGAAACGACGAATGGCAGTTCAATGAGGTGATCTTGCACAATTAGGAAGATAAATGTCATGGACTGGTCATTCTGTAGTAAAGCCGGTCAATCAAGCTATGTGATAGCCTTACTAGAACGTATGCAGGGAAAGTAAAGTAACGAACTGTTCGCCCGAGTCCTCCAGATGCGTTGGACTACAACTCCCGTCTGCTGGGAGTGATGGAGGTAGTAGTCCAACGCAACCGGAAGGCACCAGCATGAGGAAGGCTATCCTGAGCCTACCAGTCTTCAGGCAGAGATAGTGAGAGATCAGCCCCTCGCAGCGCAGCAGTGCTACCTCCAAACAACGGCTTGAACTCTCCAGCTATTCATTAGGTTTAAACTGTCCAAAAGCCGTCAATAAGACTACAACCATACTGATCGCGCAGTGTAGTGCTACATTTTGAAGTGCAGGTGCTCATGACAGTCCCTGCAGCCACACCCCCAAGGAGAGTCCAGAAATGCAGCCAGCTGTGCTTATGCCTTTCAAGAAACCGCTAGGAACAGTTTTCATCTCCTCTAGGCGCAGCCTTTTATCAAGCCAATGGATCTCAATTGCCTATTCAAAATCGAGCCGCCCCAAAATACTGTGCACTATCATAGCCATAGCTCTCAACAAGCTCTTATTGCTGGGAAAAGGCACTCTCCGCTGCACCCTTCCGTTAGGCTTGCAGTTAACCTCAGAAGGGACAGGAAACCCGAGGGGCGTGGCAGCCGGCATCGTTCCTCCTGCCAATCCAAACGCCACCGCGAGCTGCACCTGAGAGTCCGCTGCACGTCAGAATGCAATCCAACTTCCAGTAGGTTGCTCCAATACTAGCACAGCCGATGTTTGTCTCCTCCCCACTCCAAACCCCGAGAAGAGAGACAGAACGTGAGAAAATGAAAAGGGTGACAAGTGTAAAGGAGCAGGTAATACCTTCACCTTTAATACTGGCATAGAGGAAAATATTCTGGCGGGGTGGCTTTTGCTCTCCTGCATGTAGAGCCAATGCTAAGGGGTGGCCTGCTAGAACTGGGGCCCCAAATCTTCCACTTGGAGCCCTGAATCTCTGCGAGGCCATCTTCCACACACCCCGATATCCTTGGGCATTTGCAGAAAGAAGCATACAAAGACCCTGATTGGTGTATCTGATTAGCTGGCTTTTTTCCCAGCATGCTTCACCTCCTGCTGTCACTGCCCTAAATCTTTCAGCCGGAGAATTTTTGCATTTCCCCCATGAATTCAAATGCCCTCTGGCCAGACATTCCTTTTACAAATCGATATAACCTTAGGGACCGGATCCCTTAAAGAAACATATAGGGAGATTATAAAACACATGTAAATTAGCAAATCGCGTGCGTGTGCGTGTTCCTGTGAGCCTGAGCTCCAGGCTGCATGAGAAGATTCACGTGCAAAACCATTCTCTCCTATGCAATTCTTAAACATATAAGTGCCCTTCCTTCCTTTATTCTTTGTCATCCTAAACAGCAGAGGAGAAATAAGGACAGGCTGTGATGCAAATGAAGTGACTCTCATGTTTGGGATAAAAGTGGGTCCTGCCACTGAAATGAAGAACTGTCTAGAATTTTGGGAAACTCTTATTTGTACATTGATTAACAGAATCAAAAAGATCTTTTGCTCTGACTTCTGTTTAGAATAATAATGTTTTGTCCCACTGTGTAAGTTTGCAAATGTACTAAACTGGAATGCGCTCCCCAGAGAGGTCTGCCTGGCACCATCGTAATTTGTTTTTTGGCACCAGGCTAAGACCTTTTTATTTAAAACTTATTTTAATTGTTAAATTATTTGTATTTATAGGATTTTAAATTTTTAGCCGAGATGCACCGGAGGTTTTTAAATATTTTTTTACTGTCATATTGTTATTTATGTATTTTGTTTCTGTTGTGAGCCACCCTGAGTCTTCGTTGTGATGGGGGTGGCATAAAAATGTTTTAAATAAATAAATAAACTGACAGGTATCAAAATCATTGCATTAATAGAAAAGGTAAGCTTACCCATTAATCCATTCAAGTAATTTTATACAAACATTTCCACTGTGTTGTTCCAAATACTTAAAGCATATTTTAGTCAGATTCAAGAGTGCCTTTAAGAACAACACTAGGTGCCTTTGTATAGCTAAGCCTAGAGGATGGGTAGTTATCTTTATGTACCCTTACACAAAGTAATTGCTGAAATTAATGTCTAAGTAAATACAGGCAATTAAGACTTGTTGTGCAGTAAATTCCAGCATAAACATAGTTTAACTTACTTCTGTACTAACAGTTAGACCAGGATTTAGTAGGAGTGTGAAAATTGTTTACTTAACTAGAACTCTGATCTTGCAGTTAGGCATGCCTAAACCCACTGACTGCATTGGCTTAGGAACATCAGACCCTAATGTTCTATATTGAGCCATTTATTACTTGTCATACAGGGCCACAAGACTAACACAGCTACCTTTCTGGAAATCAGGAAGGTTGTCTTTTGAATTAATAGAATGGCAACACAAACTTTTAAAACAGCAATCCCATGATCAAACCCAAGCAGCATCGTGGAGATGGGTTCATCAGACTTCACGTAGGGGCAGGCAAATTATCCTGTCATCCTTCCCCTTGTCTAAGCTGCTTCTGCCTAAGCTCCAAGAAGGGGAATTAAGTCTAGCCATACCTCTGGAAAAGGAGGTGCATACATTAAAATGGCTCTTCATGTGTGAATGTCTGCATAAGAATACTTCTATAAAATTGTTTACCCCTGGCATTTATCATCTGCCTATTATGTTTTGCCCCCCAGATATGTTTTTCTGACTAATCTGGAGATGCTGAAATCTTGCAGTATGTTTATTCATGAATAGTAGACTGGTGAAAAAAACAAATAAACATACAGCCTGGTGGTCAATAAGATCTAAAATTAGGTCCTACATTTCATGTTTTTTTCTTTTACAGTTTTGTTCTATAACAATTATTTTCCAATGTGTTGACAGCTGCAAGCCAAACCCCAAATTGGAAAAGTACAAGACAACCATCAATAGTGGGAGTGGGGAATGGGTGTTGCTCCAGATTGTGGTGGACTACAACTAGTCCTAGCCACAGAAAAGGATGATAGGCGATACACATCCACAACATCTGGAACACCCCTGGCTCCACAATGTGTGTTGCTAAAAGTCAATACAGTAGCATATTCTAAGCATTTTAGAAAAAGGAAGGCTTCTACAGTCATTGTCTTCATCTTTTTTACAGTATATGATAACCATTCATAATGCTTTAACTAATACCGCAAATGAGCATCTGATTTGTATTTTCAGCAGGAACTATATTTATGAATGATGTTTGTGTGAATAATTTTTGTTATTGGTTTCTTCCCTCTCCCACAGATATGCACATAAAAGTCAATTTTGCACTGCTTTATTGGCTTTATTGCTACAGGAAGTCGCTGCTGTACAAAAATAGAGTTTATCCAAATGCAAATAAAGGGTAGCGAATATAAAATCAGGACAGAAGGGAAAGGAAATGCCTTTGCTGAGGCCAAGTGGGTTAAAAGGAACAGGAACTGCTGGTCAAAGGCCAGGGTGTAACATCAGCATCTGCTGTACATGGTACACCAGGCCCAGCTCTCAGCATCATAAATAGGTGCCACCAAAATGGGGTGAGTTGGGGGCAAACAAATAAATAAATAAGTTAGAAAATAAATAACTTTGTTCAGAAAGTGTCGGTTCAAGGGCAGGGACGATTCCATCCTCCTGGTACCAAGTGACGATTGACCAGAACCCTGGGAACAGCTGGGGCAATCGCTGCTTCTGAAGCTGGTGTGACAAGTAACACTGCTGATCTATTAGGGGATGTGGCAAACTAAGGTGATAACATCATTGTTAGCTTTACAGGACAAGCCCCTTCTTTAACTGCAGATACCTTGACCGTGCGGTGGACATACGGCATTGTTAGCTGTGCCACCAGAGCCAGATCTGTTAGCAGCTTGAAAAGGAGGATGTCAAGCCCGTGCTGTGGGAAAACACAGAGGCAGACCAAAATGGAAGCGATGAGCCTCACATGGGGTAGTCTCATCTCTGGGTGCTGCCGTAGCAGTTCAGACCTAAGCCTCTACCCACCAAGGGTCTGTTCTCACCAGGAGAAATCCCCCAATCAGATTAAAGTCTCTAAAAATGAAGATCATCCAAGAACAAAACCAGGAAGTTCTTGACAAATGTCTCGAATATCCTAGCGCAGGGTCGTTAGTGGTAACAATCACTGAGCCTCCAAGGCACAGAGAAAGTATAGTCTACAGGCTGGCCCTGAAGGTCCTGAGAAGGGACGCAATCTGGCTTTCACAGTCATCTGCATCTGCTTCCTGGTGGAGCTGGACCACATTGCTAGGAAAAGGGAGCAGCTCCTAGGCTTGGACAAATGGGGGAATTAACACCTGTCTTGCAACAGATGGGGCTGAATGACCCTAGCAAGCAGCTGCCTCCTTTCAACTACTTGAAGGACTAGTGTTAAGGAGGGGCACTTAAGGGGCTATCCGTTAGCACCACAGGTCTCTCAGGCTACCTGTCACCTGACTCAGTAAGTGGGCAAATTCACAACCCTGTCAACAGGCCAGCCCCGGAAGGAGAAAGACCCAGCCAGAATGCTGCCTTCCCAGGCCTGACTGGCCCCGATCTCACCATCGTCTTGGCGGTCCGAGGGGACTACCCTGCAAAGTTGAAGGCTCAGGCTTTTTGGAGCCAAGAACACTGCATTCCCTGCCTGCTTGTAGTTCACTCACTGCTTCTTCCTGGCCTAGCAGGCCTCATTGTGAACTGTACCTCTCCGTATCCCACGAGGCACAGACCAGGCAGCTTTCGGGCACGTCTGCCATGCAAGCATGGACACCGGTTACTTCTCGGATGCTGCAAGCTCCAAGCGGCGAGCACCGTCAGCCCACACAGCCACAGCGGGATGCCGAGATTTGGCTTGCAGTCTGCCAGGCACTGTTCACGTCCATGAAGGAGAAGGTTTCGTATCGGGTGGGGCGGCAACAGGGGTGGGAGGAGGGGCGGTCGTGTGGCCCAGGCACAATGGCATGCTGCTGCAGCAGGCGGCTCAAGCTCAGGTCGTAGTTGGTGCGGGTGTGTTGGCACGAGCCGCTGCAATATCGGAACCTCACAATCTCGTCCGAGTCATAGCCAAGGCCCAGCTCTCGCACCTTCACCGTGAGGCTGTGCAGGCGGCACTGGTGGCGGCGGTTCCCCTGCCTGAGCTTCCTCAGCTTGCCAGAGCCTGGTGGGGAGCGCTCAGCCCGGAGCAGTTCGGATGTACTTGGCCCTCCGAGGGTCACGTTTTCCCCTGAAGGAAACAGAGCAGGGCTGGGACTGAGTCACTGGAAATGTCCCCAGCCTTGTCTCCCAAGGAGAGGGGAAGCCCCGCACAAGAGGATGTGAGGTCACAGGGCTCAGACGAGTCACACGGGCCTCTCCTCGGGCTTCTCTCTAGCCACAAGGCCTGATTCCACTTGCTCCCAGAATGGACTATCTGGCCTCGGGGACCAGGGTAAGATAGTTAAGGAGAAATGCAGATTTACAGTGGACCACACAAGGAACTGTTGTACACACACATAGAAAGAGCCTTGGGCTGGGGATCCAAATGGGACAAGTTCAGAAGCACTCGCAGCCCTGTTCCCCTTCCCCAGGGACATGCCGGGTTCCTACCTTGCCAGTGTCTCCATGCAACCCCTGATGGGGCTTCCCTGCTGCTTTCATCCACAGTGGCAGGGCTGGCAGTGCCCGAGCTTCCTGAGGCTTCTCCCAAGGTCTGGTTATGATGCCAGGTCTCCGGACTGGCCATGACTGCCCCAGCAAACAGTGACAAGAGGGTGATGGTACCCCACAAGCCCCGTTCCTAGGTAAGAGAGGAGAGCTCCTGCTAGTAAGTATGCTCATGCAACCTGAGACACAGAAAAGGGAGGAGAGGGGCCTCTTGGAGATGAGGGTAGAGCAAAGGAGAGTTGTGACATGCCACAGGAGTTCAGGCTCACCTCACGTAGGATGAGCTTGTTGCACGGATTTCCTGTCTGGGTGAGAAAATCAGTGTATTGGAACACGCACAAAGATGAGAATGTAGTTTGCCAGACAAACACCGAGTGAAAAGCTGCCACCATATTTGCATGCCACAAAACACTCAGGTGGACTCACAGCATACAAGTGACAGGCCAAGCAACAGAGGGAAGCAAAGAACCAGACCAGTGTCCTGGGGCCAAAGGGGAGTGATGTACAAAGAAAGTAGCTGCTCCCTCTTTCATATATTGCAGAGATGGGGGATCCTTTCTTAGACAAAGGGCGTCCTAGCTGTCCATTGCTCCCATGCCAAGCACACTCCCTGGCAAGGCTAACTCACCCTGTGTTGTACTGGTCGGACAGGCAAGCTCCTGTAGGCAGAGGGAGATCTGTCTGATCTGTGCCTTGGCCCCTCCACTTTCCACTCCATCCTACCTGCAACACAAAGACAAGGTTCAAGGACTGGACCTCACATTCCCGGGTGGATAGCCTCATTTCTGCTTCTACAGCCTCCTGGGCTTGCCAGATCACCCTTGGCCAGCTCCAAGTCTCTGAACCTTTCTGCATGGCAAGATTCTCTGGATAAATATGTCAGTCCAACTCAGTAAAAGAAGCCCAGATGACTCCTGCAGGATATAATTCTTCTTGCCCTGACCATTTTGTATTTTGCAGTCTGGGATGGGTCCACCTAACAGATTTCCTGGGATTTTCTGAAACAAGAATGGGCTGGGATGGGATATGGGCCATTCCCACAGTCCTGTCCCAGTGATATCTCTGGCTGCCAATACAAATGCAGAAGAAGCAGTTTCTTTGACATTGATGGAAAGCGTCAACATCCACAATAAGCAGCTATCTTGTAATAACACAATACACCATGTACCAAACTTTTCCAGTTGCATCCAAAGAGGGGTCCCTTTGCTGAGTCAACAAGCATTGTCACCAACCCTAATTCTGAAAGGGTTCAGCCTGAAGAGTAATGTTCTCTGAGTGCTATGTTCACACTTATGGTGGCCTGCACACACATGCATGCACGTGCCTTGAAGGTTTCATAACGCCATAACCATGTAACATTCATGCGTAAGAACCCATTTAGAAGCATAAGTACCTCCACATAGGGCTGCATGTGCTGCTACTATGAATGGGTAGTCCCAGCCACCATGTATTTTTACAGAGAGTTCTGCTCCATCTTTCCATTTCCCCTTGTCATATTTTACACCATAAGTTCCTTGGAGCAAGGACCAGTAAAACCAGTACTCCTGTGCTCAGTAAAATGCATATATGCTGACATCACAAATGATGTCATCCCAGAGCTAACCCTAACCCCAACCCTGCTTCATAGCTAAGCACTCAACCCCACCCAACCCAAGAATACCTTCAATGGTCAGACCTCATTATCAACTATTTCTGCTCACTCAGTACGCATGTATTTGCATTAACTGTTTCTACTGCACCCCTTCTAAGTAACTAGAAAAGAGAGTATCCTATGGCTATCATGGGGAGTGAAGAATCAGAAACCTGGGGCCATATCCTGCCCTATACCTCTAACCTGCAGTCATAACAAGCAGTTTGCCAGAACACTGGGGGGGGGGGGGGGGGACAAAGAGAGAGAGAGAAAGGGAGAGAGAGAGATTGTTCTCTTTTGTTCTTTACAGTAGACACTGGAAGCAGTAGCCCAGAGATGAGACAGTAAATGTTTGAAGTTACTATCATCCTCCAGAACTTGGTTTACTTTTAGTCTGCCTTTGACCAACACAAACCAGCTGCTGACTGCCCAAGGACATTTCCCTATATTGGGGAGCATTTGGGGTCCATGTTTGACTTTGCAGAGAGATGCATTTTCTCAGGCTCCCACAAGGTGGCAATACAGAACCAGAGTTTTGCTGCTTCGCACATTGTCCATACTGGGGAAACCTGTTACCCTTTCCTAATGTGTGAGGAATCCTGGGCCTGCTTCTCCAGATTGGGACATAGATGAATCCAAACTAATTTAGAGATGCAGCATAGCACACTGGTAGGAAGATCTTGATATTTTCTATAGAATAGCCGTGAAAGATAGAAAACCTCTGAAACAGAAGAAGTATTGCAATCTATAGGATGTTTATGTCTGTCCTGGTATTTAAGAGTGACCATGCAGGAAAGGGGGCATCTCAGGATCAACCTGTGGAACATGGGTCATTGTATTCGCTTCGTTCCAGAGCAACTGAGTTCCTGCATCTAGAAACACCCTAATGGATATTATTGAATGTCAATATTCACTCTTCACTTTTACTATTCACCATCTGGTCAACCATATACAGAAAAAATTGCAGACTGCTCAGACATACAGATATTTGAACCACAGAGGAAATCTGCTTCCATACGCTGCAAGCCAACACAGACTAATAACCACCCTGATTGAACAGCTCCTGGGAGTCATCAGCTTTCTGCAACAACTCTGGGGGCTTCAAACAAATACATATTTCCCCTTTCCCAAGAACTCTGTGTGGAAAAGCTTTTTATCACTCTGGTGATTACACAAAGACCACCTGGTCTTAGTTTGAATCATACACGGTAGTACAAGTATACCAGAGACCTGGATACAAACTGGCATCACTATCCAAGAAGGGAGGGAGGAGAAACACTGCTTCAGTTCGGATAGATCCAAGGGGGCTGAAAGCAACTGCCATGAAATGGGTGTGGGTGCATAGGCTCATCCACTGAAACTTAGATATGCACTGATTTGAGGAATTAAATCAGAAAGACCTGGCTGAATACACAATCATTGGCACAATCTCCCCTCTCTGGTGCCTTGAATTGTTATAACAAGCTGAACTGGCAAGGCTGCAGGAATTTTCAAAAGAAACTGATTTGAAGACTGATATGTACCTTCCAAAACAAAGAGATGTTGGCAGCAAAGCCTTCCTTGGAGCTGGTGAGCTGCCAATGTACACCTCTACTACCCTAAACAACCTGCTCACTGTGCCAATCATCCCATGCCTATGCAATCTCAGTTTTGGAGATTTACCTCTGGCTACCCAGCCACTGGTGACGCTTCTCTCCCAGGCTATTTTGTATAAAACGAATACAGCTTAAATCCCACCAACAGGAGCCACAAGGCTCAGTGAGCAAACAGGCTAAGGCAGAGATTGCCACCTGATGCCATGGCATGCTCCTGGACAGAGGTTGAGAAGGAGCAATCTGTGAGGAAGTGACAGAGAAGTCACTCCAGGACTGCCATCACTGCAGAAAGGAAGGCTTGGCCAGCTTATTCTGGTGATGGAGAGTGGAAAACAGGCAGTCCTAGGCATGTTCCTCAGAACTAAGTCCCAGGGTATCCAGCAATGCTGACATCCAGGAAGCATGCACACAAGGGCTGCCTTAGAGGCTGAGGTGAAAAAAGTTTCTTAAGCGATTAAGGTGCCCGGAACTGGACGTAGCTCCTTGGATCTCTCCCTGTGAGTTTGTCCTGGAAGTGTTTGGAGTGCAAGAAAAACCAGTGGAAGTTCAGCTTGATGGGCTTGAGCCCCACAGGGCTTAGAAGAAGCCTAGGTAAATTATTGGAGAAGGCCCAGGAGCAGAGATGACCCTCTCTGGACCACAAAAACAAAACAAAACAAAACAAAAAACCGCATGCCACCAGGACTCTGGAACCTTTTTTTTTTTTTTTTAACAGAAGCCAGCATGCCTCCCCCACCACAATTCATTCCAGTCCTCATCTGGCATCAGTTCCTGCACTTGAGCTATCTCGGCTGTCCACGAGGCAGACTTAGCTGATGGGGTAAGGCTAGGTGCGGCTCCACCCCGGGATCGGAGGAATGAGATGGGTTCGAGGCCCCCTGAGCAAGAGTGAGCTCCGTTCGTGCCTCAGCCTGCGCCACTAGCTGCTTTCCGAAACTAGGCGATCTTCTGGACGCTTGCAATTATACCCGCCCGCAGTAGTTACCCCGATCTCTCCTCCCACCACCAGGTCTGGAAGCAGTTCCCAATTTCCAGGCCAGCTCCACTCACCGTGCGCTCCGTCTCGGCAGATCGGGCGCCTCCTGCTGCTGCGCGCGGCTCTCCGGGGACCATGCTCCGAGGATTCGGGCCAGGAAGCGCCTCCCTCTGCCCTCGGGTATCGGCCCTTCCAGGGCATCGAATCCGCTCCCTGCGCCGGAGATACATGGTCACCGGGGTCCAGGTTAGGGCGGCGACGGGGCAGACCCTCGCCATGAACAGCCATGGAGCGAGGAGGGGGGCTCCCTTTTCGAGACGGCCACGGATTTCGTCTCTTCCTCCTTTGAGACGGATCCCGGGACAGAAAGACACACAGAGACCCCTTTCTCGTGAGGAACTAGCAGCCCGCCCGCCCATTCCCTTCTTCCCTTACCTCCCGGCGGTGGCGGTTCCCCGGCAGCTCCTGCGCTCAGCCGTTCCCAGGGGCCATGGCTCGACCCCGCCGCCGGGATTGTTCCCCTGGGCGCCCGACGCTCACGTCGTCCGCATGGCCAGCAGGTGCCCGGCGGGCTCAGCGCCCCCCTGCGGGGAAAGAACTCGTTAGAGCGGCTGGCGTCGGGAGGGCAGCCCTGATCCAAGGATCCCCATCCAGGCCGGGCCGGACTCACCGCACACGGCAAGGGAAGGAGCCAAGGGGGCGCGCAGCCCGCTGGGCTCGGACCTGTGGCCGGCGTGACTCCGGGGCAGGCGGCCTCTGGCAGGGAGAAAAGCACCCGCTCCATCGCCGCGCCTGGCAGAGTCTGGTGTCAAATTCCAGCCTCTTCGTCACCTGATCCCCAAGGCGGGGCGGGGCTGGGACAAGCAGGCCGATCCGTGGATGATGGGACAACACCCCCACCCCGTGCCAGTCCCATCCCCGGGGCCAACAGGGACGGACGCTGGCGCCGCCCATTCGACGCCACTCGTCTGCCCCGGTCCTTGAGCGCTTCTTGTCGTCCGCGTTTCCTCCCCAGCCAGGGATGGGGCCAGAGGATTGGCGACCTCTTCTGGCGGCATGCCTTCGAGGGCCGGTGTCCTCCTAGCCCGCAGGTCCTCCCTGGCTCGCTACCAAGAAAGAAAGGGGCAGGCGGGTGGGCTACGCGCAGCACAGCGGAGAGCTCTGGAACCTCCAAGCCCGCACCAGAGCGGGAGGCGAGCTGCTCTATCTGCCCTCTTGCTCACCTCTCCCTCTCCCTGGTTGGCGCCGCAGACGGGATTGGGTCCCCTAAGTGAGATGCACTAAAAGGAATGGCAAGGAGGCCCATTAGAAAGAATGGGAGCTATCGGAAGGCCAGTAGAAAGTAGCGGGAGCTACGAATGCCCAATTGACCTGACTGGGCTCTGTTGAAATAAATGCGAGCAGCAAGCAAGCTGCTGGTAAAGTGTGGAATGGACCCTAAGTGAGAAGGGAATGGGTCGTAGGGATAAAACACATTTGCCACATTGACAGGAGAAATTATGAGTACAGTAATACCAGACCTTGTGAGACTGGAAGCTTGGCCCTTGGGATTCCAATGGACATGCTTGCTATTGGTTTGAGTACATCCGGGGTTAGGAATCTGGCAGGAGAACACGGGCAGGGAAGTGGGCAAAGGCAGCCGCTCGTACACTCCCCCTGCCGGAACAGCGCAGTGGCAGCAATGGCTTTTGCTTGTTTGCTCGCACTGCCAGCTTCACTGGGCCCATCTCTTGCAGCCACAGTGCCTTGGGGCAGAAGATAGGCAGAGTCTCCACAGGAAAAGGCAAGGACGTGAGTGGGGGCAGCCGTGCCTGCTCTTGGCCACTGTGGCTTGTAGGGGAGGTGCAGAACAGCCCCCCTCTCCCACCAAACAGAGGCAAGGCCTCCCAGGAGCCGCTTGCCAGTCTGTGGCAGATGGCTGTTAGTGCCCCAACAGCTGCCCAACTATGTTGATCTCTGATACTGGTCTGGCCCACAGTGACTGCAGTCATCTCTGGGTAAGGCGATGGACTATCGATGGTCTGCCCCACTTTGCTGGAGATGCTCCTGCTTCCTAATTTTGGCCCTGGGGGAGCACAGGCAGAGGGGGCCTGGAACTTTCTGGGTTACAGGGTACTGTGGTTTGCTGGAGAGCAGCTAAGCTCCTTTGAAATGGAGGTAATTTTCTATCTGCAAGGCACCTCCCTGGAGCTGGGCAGGGCCAAAGTAACAAGAATACATCCAGTCCTGCCCCCCGCTTCCCAATTATAAAGGCAACAAAGAAGTTTTGTTTTTTAATGCCACATATAAAGCTGAGAACAAAGGACAGCTGCACCAATGTTTATAGTTCCCCACAGATTTTGAGCTCCTTTATTAATGGGAATTGATTTCTCCAGAGCTTCCAAATCTTGCTTAGAACTCTCAACTCATTGATAGATGTCAGGAGTGCTAAGCATGCTAAGCATGCAGGAAGTTTTAGAGAAATCAATTGCCCTCAGTAAAGAGAAGGCTCTTGAAACACCCTGGGAATGCTAAACATTGCTGCGGCTGTCTTTGTCTTGCCTAAGTAGCTTCCTTATCCCCGCCCCCCCCGCCCCCACACACATACACACAGACTAGGGCCTGCCCTGGTTCTGTTCTTGCAGGGAACCCAACATAAATATCAAATAGCTGTGCCACTCTGAATTTTACCTTTGCTTCTTTCTCTGTGATGAATACTCCCTCTCCAGTGCTTTAGATGTCTGTACCAGGTCAGGTCAGTGGTCCATCAGCTCAATATCGATCACATCGACTCCCAGAGACTCTCCAGAGGTTCTGGCAAAAGCCTTTCCTGGGCTTACCTGAAGATGCCAGGACTGAACCTGGGACCTTTTGCAGCCACAGCATGTGATCCACCACTGAGTAATGCCCTGCTCCCTCACTGGCTCAGAGCTGCAGGGCTAAGGCTGCATCTTTGCTGCAAGCCACCCCTGGAATTCCTCACACATCCTGAGAACCCCATCCTGGGGATCCTAGATTAGCTCCCACATAGCTGCTGAGGGTATATCATGCTAATCCATCTGAGTGCACACAGCCCAGTTCTTACCTCCAGCTCTCTGTTCTTCTCTCAGTTTCCAGTGAGGGACTGAGATAGTTCAGCAGAACCCCCCTTGGGCCCTCCAGGCTTTTCTCTCAGGAGGCCTTGGGAGGGGAGGTATCCCCTCTGTCTTTCAGGCTCTCCTGGCACCAGACAGCTCTCAAGGGCACCAGCCTGCATCCAGAGCTCCCCTCCCCAGCCTGCTGCTGCGCATAAGCCCCTTTGCTCTGTTTCTTGCTGGCGGTGCTTGCCCTCAGCTGCTCTCTCTTGCCTCTAATTAGCTCTTCCAATGGAGTGAGCCAAACGGGACGTTGCTCTTGACACAGGCTCTAAACTGGCACTGCTTGCTAAATTGCTGACCCAATCTCTTTGGACTTATGTAATGGCACTTGGTTCAGGAGAGGAACAAGATGCTCTTTCCTGGTTTCCACAGCTGGGCTGCAAATGGGCCTTTTCACCTGGCCCTTCCCCCTTGACCAGGGCTAGCTATATATAGGTCCAGCATTATTTACTCTTAGCACCGAGGACCCTGCCCCTGAGCCCATTTGCTTAAATCCTAGGATTATCCTGTATGACAGCTTTGTTTCCTTAAAAGTGTAGCCACTTCTGCCTTGCTTACACTTCACTGTGAAGTGATCTCAAGCATTCCAATTTCAAGTAAGCCCCGTGCATTGTGATCTCGACAGGGAAGCATCAGAGAGATCCTCATTTATAAGCCCATCCAGGATGCCATTCTCAATGGAGTCCCGAACTCATTCTGGAATCCTTCACAAACTTGCGGCAGAGGAGGGAGGGGGCTGCATCTTTGTTTTTCCCATGCTGGCACAAGACATGTTTCTCTGGAAAGTGATGCACACAGGCTGTGGCATCCATATTTTGGATCCATTGCGGCCCATTATGCATTTGAAAGCCTTCTGCTGCAGGCTTATCCCTGCACCTTAGTTTTGAGGAATGTTTACTGGTTGGCCATAAGTCATAAGGTTAACTTACTATACAATCCTGTGCATGCTTACTTGGAGGTAAGTTCTACCGCATTTTTGGCTCTACCTCTCTCTGAAATGTTTCAATTCAAGCTGATCCTTGTAAGAATCACTTTGAGTTCCTTTCCTTTCATCTTCCCCTCCCTTCCCTTTCTCATTTTATGTTATGGCTTTTAGACTGTAACCCTGCAGGCAGGGGCTGTCTTGTTTTAATCTTCGTACAGCACTTAAAACATTTTAGGTGCTTTATACATGAATAGCTTACAAGAGCTGAACAGGGCTGCCATGAATAGGACATTCTAGAGAGTTTTCATTCATATGGTTGCCATCAACTGAAGACATGACAGAACATAACAACACAAGATACCTGAATAACAGTCAACCAAAGGAAAGACTATCAGGAACAAGTATTACAAGGATTATTCACAGGATGGGATGTGCAACAGTGAGGCAAAATCCTTCCCATTTTCTAGGCTTTTAAGAGAGATGTTTACATCAGTTTCTCACTGACATAGTGCTTTTATGCCCTTTTTGAATAGCCATGCTTACATTTTGCTGCCAATTTATTACAGCTTAAGTTTCTGCATGGAGTTGCTTTTATAGTGCTGGTGTTTTTTGTTTTTGTTTTTTTATGTGAGCTAACTTTTGGATTAGAAAGGTGAAGAAGGAATAACATTCCCAAATAAAGAGTGCAGTGAAACTTGGAAGTGCACAGAAAAGTCCATTGAAAAAAAAGGTATGCCGCTCCTAGTTTTTGTATCAAAAAACAATTGTGTGCAGACTGTGCTAAACCTTGGAGGAGCCCTTTCTGTGCTACAGACTTCCAGGAACACGGAGGGGACTAGTACAAAAGTACTACAGGCTCCAGTGCCAAGCTTAAGACATTGTCACATAAGGCAAAACATCAAAATAATGCATACAGTGTGTCCTGGTCAAAGGCATATTTTTATTTTCAATTGATGTACAAAGATCAGTACTGGCAGAAGGAAAATGGCCTTTCCTTTGCAATGAATGGCTTAAGCAGACAGCTTCATATTCTATCATAGTGAGGCTGGCCTGCACTGTGTGACTTTACAATGAGATACAGAAGGTCTTAGGATCTTTTAAAACTTCATGGCAGAAATTGCCTGGAAGTATGAGAAAACTGGAAAACAGCCAAAGTGGTTCCAAAAAGAGATGGCTAATCTCAAGATGCTGAAAAAGTAGTTTTTTCGAAGCCCAACACATTTCAGCCCAATATATTATTTATGGCTTTCCTCAAGGGAATTCTTTAAAAAGCCTTCAGAGAACCCTGTCAGGACTGTTTCATACATTTAAAGATAGGCCCAGCTCTCTTCAAATGTGTGAAGCAGTCCTGACAGAGGTCTTCAAAGTCTTTTTTTAAAGAAGTTCTCTGAGGAAGGCCATAAATAGTATATTACACTCAAACACTGGGTTTCTTAAAAAAAATAAAACTACATTTTTCAGCATCTTGGGACTAATTCTCTCTTTTTTGGAGAA